GATAATCATTTTCAATCATTTTTTTCAATTTGATAAAAAAGATTAAAATCTTATTTTGATATTCTTTTAAAATCAATTATCATTTTTTTCAAAACTGATTTTAATAAAACAGAAATTATACTGTTTATTTAAAATATTTTGAACCAAGCTTAACTTAGCTTCTGTGCCGAAAAAATGTAATTTGAAAATAAAACAAAGCAGGTCATAACCTTTCACGTTGCTTGACGATTGACGAAAGGCACATTCATGACGTTTAGATAAGTTACGGGAGAAGAATTCTTTCTACGGATGGAAGGAAGTGAAATTATTTAAGTGAACAAATTATTTACCTTGTTACTTTTAAGGAAAACTTTCAGCGCTCTAATTTTTTATTTTTTTATTTTTTTTTGTACTTAGCTTTCATTTTTACATTTACGATGCTTTATGGAAAATATAAAGAAATTAAAAAATAAGACTGTTAATAGTGAGATTAAATTTCATAAGAAAAAGTTATCTAATTAATTTAGGTACCTTTCTTATGAAATTTTATCAGAAGTGTACATAAAATACTATAATTTTAAGTACATTTATTACATTTTACTGTGTTATTTGTATTTCCATTCATTTTATTATTAATTTTGATATTTCATTTATGGAAAAATGTCATAACTGAGATTAATATAAAAATAAGATCATATAAATTAAAGTTTAGCAGTAGTTAAATTTCACAAGATGATACTGTTACTTGTAGGTACCCTTCTCAGTTGAAATTGAAAACTCAAATTAACTTCTCCATACGCGTTTTTAAAAGTAAAAGGGCTTAACAGCGGAGAACAATGCTGAACTCAAATAATGCAACTAAATTGTATTCTGGTTGGTCTTCCGTACTTGATAATTACTGTCCGACTATAAACACAAAAATGACATTTCTTAATTACCATGGCTAATCTGATTGGTCCAAATTATACAATTTTCAAAGCGCTAGACAATGACAATCTCACACGGACATTTTGAAAGGTTGATGTTGCTTTTAACTAATGTTAAAATATTTTTTTAAATTCAATTTAAACATTTTTTTTAAATCTTTTTAAAATCAAAGAAATAAGAAATAATTGTATTAAAAATTCAAACTTCATTGAAAAAATTTTTTGCTTTCAGAAAATATTGTCCATATTCATAAAAACAAATAAAAGCATTTGAAACTAAATAATATATTTGTTTTATTGAGTTTTGTATGTTACAATTCACAGCTGATTTTCAGGTACGTTGGCCAAAAAAAACAAAAAAAACATGATTTGCATTCTTCAAAGCCTTGTGCTTTTAACAATTGTAATCACTAAAACCAATGGTCTCAAATTTCTAGAGTTTTTCATAAAATTAGTTATGGGGGTGTTAATAAATATAAAAAAAAAATATTTCTGCCATGACTTTAATAAAAAAAAAAACATATTTATAATAATTTCGATCATCTGTGAATAGTTTCTGAAAGTTTCATTAACATCTGACAATTATTTTTATTTTTGCAAGATTTTCCAAATTAATGTGTGTAAATACAAAAAATACGCTAAAAATTATCTATGTTATTTACTACCCCTTGTTGTGACAAAGAGAAACAAGGTTTTTTAAATCAAAATTTAGAATATTCTAAAAAGACGGAAAAATTTTAAAAAATAATTAAAAAAAAATTTAGTCTATCCTCTTCATAAAAACATAAGCATTTTGACGATAAAATTTTGTTTTCATAAACTTTGGCATCTTTTTCATCAGACTATGCTCTATGTTTTAGCAATTCCGTGGAGTGACTTAGGTTAAAAAACCCAGGTTGTGTGTGTGTGTGTGTGTGTGTATGTGTGTGTGTGTGTGTTCCTTTATATACGGGATCGGATTTCAGCTGATAAAACAAACATCCACTTTTTTTTTTTTGGCAGGTAGTATTTCTTATTGTCTTGCACACTTTTTTCTTTATTTATACATTCAGAATGCTTTAAAAATTCCATTTACAAGACAATTGTTTATAATAAAATTCTAATTCTATTCAATCAGGGGACTCATCATAACGATTGAAAACAATGTTTTTGTTTGAGTTTGGGTTTGACCAATTTGTAAAAAAAAAAAAACATGCGTGTCCGTCAACCTAAACAATAATCTAACGATCTCTACTGATTGTGCAGATGAAAAAATCGGATAATTCTTTATCTTTAGGGAAAGATGATTCCACGTACTTTAGGGCCATTTTTACAATTCCCTTTGCAATTCGTTACAAGGCAGATCAATAAGGCATTGGTTCTATTTGAAATTAATTCAATATTTAAAAGAAAGTATTAAGAAATAATTTAAAAATGCCGACGTAAGAAATCTGATAGACAAAAAACAACAATATTTCGAAGATGATAATTATTAAGGAAAGAACACAGTACTTCTAATAAATTAATAAACCCAAATAAAGTTAATATTTTTTGTATTAGAAACAACGAGTGGAAAATATATTCAAATCAGAATTCTAATTATGAATCACCACAAGCAAAATATGCAATTTTTTTTACTGTATTCAATAAGTAAAAATCATAAATTGTAAAAGATTACAGAGAAAGGCTACCTACATTTTTCAACCGATTTCAACAAAACTTCACTTTTTTTTGGCAGGTAGTGTTTTTTATTGTCGTGCACATTTTTTTCTTTATTTTTACATTCAGAATGCTTTAAAAATTCCATTTACAAGACAATTGTTTATAATAAAATTCTATTCAATCGATAGACTCATAACGATTGAAAACAATGTTTTTGTTTGAGTTTGGGTTTGACTAATTCGTAAAAAAAAAACAAAAAACAAAAAAACTAATTAAGACATGCATGTACGTCAACCTTAAACAATAATCTTTGTCAATTTTATTTTTCAGTCTTTATGATGGTCGATACTTGATCTATCTCTTACTGTTACATCCCCGGGCAACGCCGGGCTCTACTGCTAGTCTAATATATGAATATAATAATTGGAAAAAATATATTTAAAACCTCACATGTAAATGCTTAATAACAGTAAACTGAACATTATTGATGACTAGTGCATATATAAATTTAATATATAATATATGTGTGTATGATGTTTATAGTGGTGGAAAAGGAAGAGCAACAAACAAGCAAATCAGATATGCCCGTGTTTTTTAACTGGATATGTAATTCTATAAAAATGGGAGTATAACAATATTGGCATTGTCTATAAATGACAAATTCCCTGTAAAAATACAACTGAAGAATTATCAATGGAGGCATGTTGAAACAGCAAACTCATAAATATATGAAAAAAATTTAAAAAAAAAAAAAAAAAAAGAAAAAGAAAAACAATCACAAATTTTTTTACTTTAGGTTGAGCTACAAACTTTACCAACTGACTCTACTTTTGATCTTACTGATTATAAAACGCAGATTGTGTGTGTGTGTGGGTGGGTGGGTGTCTGTACATTTATATATTGGATCGGATTTCCTACATTTTTCAACCGATTTCAACAAAACTTCTCAGGACTGTGTAAAATTACCTTGCGGTGGTTCTGACAGTGCCAAAAATTGGAAAAACACAAATATTTTTGCACGAAATCAATTTGAAAACACAATAAAACACGATTCTGTCACCAGAACGAAAGGGCTACAACTCATATCGAGTTATACTTATTATAAAACCCAGGTTGTTTGTGTGTGTGTGTGTTCGTTCATTTATATATGGGATCGGATTTCCTACATTTTTCAACCGATTTCAGCAAAACTTCACTTTTTTTGGCAGGTAGTGTTTCTTATTGTCTTGCACACTTTTTTTTATTTTTACATTCAGAATGCTTTAAAAATTCCATTTACAAGACAATTGTTTATAATAAAATTCTATTCAATCGATAGACTCATAACGATTGAAAACAATGTTTTTGTTTGAGTTTGGGTTTGACTAATTCGTAAAAAAAAAACAAAAAACAAAAAAAACTAATTAAGGCATGCGTGTCCGTCAACCTTAAACAATAATCTTTTCAATTTTATTTTTTCAGTCTTTATGATAGCCGATACTTGATCTATCTCTTACTGTTACATTCCCGGGCAACGCCGGGCTCTCCTGCTAGTATAGAATAAATTTTAAAACAATCTTATACCTCTTTGTTTTTATAATGACATTTTCAATAACCTTGGTTTGCCCTATTTCTTTGAGTCTAACAATAATGCATACTCACTTCATCTTGTGACAGAAATTGTGATCTGTATTTGAGAATTATATATCAAATAAATGTCAAGTTCATCAGCATGATAATGCAGTAGTTGTGAAACCAATATATGTGTTGTTTGAATTATTATTAGAGAGACATATAACAAAAAAATTAAAAAAATGCAACAAACCAATGTGTCTATGAATTTGCTTGCTCACTTAGAGAATGTCTCTCTAATAATAATTCAAACAATATACATATCGGTTACTCAACTATTACATTATAAATTAATTTGCCATTTATCTAATAAGAAGGTGTTACACAAAAGCTCCAGGAATTTTAACATGTACACCTAATACAGTATGGACTTTTACAAGTACATTTATACACATCCAGGAGCACTAGTTCAAAGATGTAAGAAAATAGTAAAAATTATTTTATTATCAAATTCTAACTTTTAGGCTTCAATTCATATGTATGTGTGTGTATGTTAAGTGCATAAAAGGCATCAGCAAATAAAAAAAGCTTTTCAAAAACGAAATTATAAATGAAATTATACACCTAATAAAAGATATCTATTCACTCACTCACATGTAAATTCAATATCTTTATCAAATGTATTGTTTTCTTTCATCAATCAATTTAATTTGGCTTCAGGTACACATTGGATTCTAAAAAATTTAAGCTTAAAATATTTTATTTCTCTTTTGCAATTACTTACAGGTGAAAATGAGGAATACTTACATTTGACAATGACTAAAAGTTACAAATAAAAACATTAATAAAAATATTTTTAAAAAATGAATGGAATGATTGAAAGAATGGAGTAAAAATTCTTACCTTAGGTTTGTTTACACTGATTACTGATAATTTTAAGGCTGGATGCTGACAGTGAAAACTGTTGTACATTGACATGGATCCCATATTGGGTGGGGAGTGTTTTGCAAATGTCAACAACTGAAAATAACATTAAAAAAAAAGATTAAATTTTAAAAAATTGAAGCAATGACTGAAAAATTACAACATAATAAACACTACTCTAAATGTCAATGAAGTTACAAAGAAAATATCTGTTAATAATACTAGTTGTTAGTCTCCATAATTAATCCTTGGTACTTGTTACATCATAGCATTATAGAGACTTGTTTGTCCCAGCCCTAAAAACTTACTTTACATTTAAAAACATATTGGACCTAAAGAGTTGTTCTTATTGAATGGGATGTGTGGATGGCACAATGGATATTAGCTCAGAATGAGAAATTAATAAGCTGATTGCAAATTCCAGCCAATTTTGTTACATTCACTTACACACAGATACATTTGGGAAAAGTATGAATACATTTCTTCTCCTCCCAGCTGTAGCTTATATCAGTGGTTCTCAAACTTTTTTCCTCTGGGCAGCATTTTCAGAATGAAAATTTGCTTACACCTCACCAAAGGGGATGTCTTGGTGAATAGGTACAAGCAGACCTATAACAAAGAAGGTCCAGAGAGGGGGTTAAAGGGAGATAACCCCGGATTCAAAGTCAGAACATTATCATTGATAACTCTCTCCTTCAATTTGCAGACCCTAGTTAATTATATTCATAATACTTGATATAAAATATCACAATGATAAAACCAGTCAATAATTATTTATAACTATTTATACTGGGACTCATGCATGCAATTACAAGTAACACATAATAATATTTTAAATTTTGAAATCATATTTATTTTTGGCATATGAATTTTTTGAAACTGTTTCTAAATCTTAGATTGCCTTTCAATCATGCCACCTCACCTGCTATCCTCTTCTGACACGCCTATGAGGCACGACACATTGCCTAGATACTACTAGGTTAAATAGTAAAACTTGTATGTGGAGAAATCATTGGTATTTCAAAAGTAATTGTGAATACAATATTCCCTTGCAAACAAAAAAAAAATAATTCTTACAATCCAAAATGTTTCAACCTGGAATAATCCACAAAAGGTTGATAAACCATAAAAAAACCAAATCAATCTTATTGTCGGTCTCATGAATTCATGAATATCCAAAAGTTGAAAGTGTGAATGAATGTAATATTTTGCATCTTAAAGAATTGATAATAAAAATACAAATTATGATTAAAAAATTCTTTATAATGGTGTATTTTGGGCTGAAGGTGGTGTCTCTTTTATAAAGCAAACATTTTTATTTTGTAAACACTTCAAAACAGGATAAGTTTCAATTAGTAATGTCCTATCATCACCAAGTGGACATTTCACCTATCACAATGAACAAGTGTTCTCTCAAGTGAACCCAGATCTCAAGTGAAACTTGAACATATGATCCATCAATAAAGATGTTGAAAAAATGGTTTGTTCTCTGTACCACTTCAGTAAGTACTTGACTCCTTCTTCTATCCTCTACCTTTAAAAGAGCCAGAACAGACTGAAAATGGAGTACTACTGACATATATTGAGTGGCTTTCAGGCACTGACAGGGTGAACATCATTTTTTTTTAAAACTTTTACTGCATTATTTAAAAGAAAAAAAATTCCAACATAAGTTCAATTGAACAATAAAAATGATAATAATACAACTTAAACAGTTTTTAATTGCAGCTTTGTGAAACCGACTCCCAAGAAGTTGCTTCCTTGATCACTACAGTTTTAAAATTTTTATAGTGACTAAGTCAAAAAGAAAAATGCATTTTAACTTGAAAAATGTCATTTTTTCAAGTTAAAACTAACTTGTTTTTTTATGAATGGTTGAAAAGATCTTACAACAAATTCCAATGGTTATTTTTGGTTAGTAGACGTACATGCGGCATGCAGATTGGTTTTCATCTGATATTCTACTTTGTATTTGAAATTTGGGTACATATTTCCAGCAGTAATTTAACAGCATTTCTTGTTTATTGACAAAACAAACAAACCAATCAGTAATATTATTGAAAAATGCTAATTTCATCATTTCACAATTATAGATGCTATTTTTTAACATCGCAAAATAATAATCATATTTTTCTCAAGCTGCTCCTTTTCTCCTTTAAAGGGCTGTGTCCCTTTCAGAATGTAAGTGATCATGGCTCACCACAACTTCCTATCCTTTGTAGCTCTAAGCAATCTGTATCCCCTTACTATCACAACCAGTTCCTGTTCTGCCATCCATTTACACAAACTCATTAAGTAGGTTACTCACTATTTCCTTTCTGCTCATCTTGCCTTAAATTTGTCCCTGTGAGTATCAAATTCTCCAAGCACTCTTTCCTCATTATGTGTCCTAAAAATGTCAGCTGTCTCTTTCTGATTTTAAATATGTGTTCTTTTAGTTTCTATTTTCCTTAAAACTTCCTTATTACTTATGTACTCCATCCATAGTATTCTCAGCATCCTCCTGTAGAGCCACACCTCTGCTGCCTCAAGTCTCCTTTTCGTCTGTGAGGAAATTGTTCAGCATTCACTGATGACTTAAAAAGGATTTCCTTCAATCAGATTAAATGGATGAAATAGCTCATACTATAATAAATGCATAAATATCATTTTAATATATTTTGTCAAAGAGTCATTATCATCCTAACAGATGTTTTCCAATTATTGTTCAGTGTGTTAATTAATCAATTTGACAACAATCTTTTTTTTTCTGGAAAGAGAGGAGAGTTTTGTTTTTTGTAAAAAAAAATCAAAAAAATCACCCACTCCTTTCTGTAGTTTGTAAATCTGAAGAAAGCTGTAGAATGGATCTGCTGAAAAGTAATAACAACAAAAATAACACAAAGAATGAATGTGTGTGTCATCGGTCAGTCTCAAGAATCTGTGCCCAAAGAGTTATGCCTTAGCTGATGATAGTGGTGCAACATCTGTTATTGCTGTACAGGCCCACATGGGAGTGACAGTCTCAATTACAATGATTATATGTGAAGACACTCTCCTCCAATGTCACTTTGTTGCTTTCCTTCCATCAAGCACACTTCTCCCCGGCAACAAGCCTTCTCTCCACACTCCAGACCTCGCTATAAACTGTGTCTCCAGCATGAGAGATCATTGGTGACATCTTCCCAACTGTCGATGTCCATTGCCCTTATGTCCATTTTGCAGATGTCCTTGAAGTGAATTCATCCTCGTGCCAGTGACCAGTTTCCTATACAGAAGGACCTTCTGAATCCTCCCATCCAGCATACAGTGTACATGTCCAAGCCATGTGCTGTTGAAGAAGGGTATATAGACTGGGTAACTAGGCACAGGTGAAAACTACAGCATTGGTGACTTGACAGACCAATTGATGCCCAGAATGTGTCTCATACAGTGAAGATGAAAGCCACTGAGGTATCTCTCCTGTCTGGAATAGAGACTCCAAGTCTCACTGCCAAAGAACGAATACAACAGTTCAAAAAACCCTTGGAACCATCATTTCTTATAATTGTTCAGACTGTTGTCATATGGAAACAATTTTCTTGGAATTAAAAAGAAAGCTATGATTTTAACTTCTATAAAATATATTGAAATGTTTTATAAAATGCTTTAGGAAATGACTGATTTTATTACATTACTAGCCAAGATACCCAGCTTTGCTAGGGTGTACATGGCTGCAATTATATACCCCCATGTCTATAAATGTCTACCTGTGTCCCCACTTGCATGCATCATCCGTTGATAGATTATGCTACTCTCCACTCCCATCTTTTTTATGGTATGTCCTTCACAAGCATTTGCTTATTCTTAATAAAAGAATTCCATCAATAAAACCTTACTGTGAGGTCGTTGCTAAGGGTTAAATTGTTTCAATGTTTTAGATATTCAGTAAATTTCCCATGGCCATAACTTTCAAATAGTATGGCATTGTTCACAAATCTAATAATGAAACAAAAACTGGGATGAAGCATCAGAGCTTGATTCAACTGCAAGTGCAAACACATGAAAACTTCTTACGTTCACTGTAAAGCTGGGGTTAATAAGAGGTTTTTCAGGGATTTTTCCCTTTTAACGCTTCAATAATCCTTCTCAAATAATCTTTCCATCAAAGGTTGTTCAAATGCCAACTCAGGATGGAATCATATGAAGAAACTATTAGCTAAATGGCAAAAGCCAATTTTGGACCTAGTTTTTGCAGATTTTGTACACTTAACTAAATATATCTAGACCAAACATTCATGCAATACAATTTGTGTGTCATATGTAATTTACATGGCAAATTTGGAAAGCATCAGATGAAAAGCCAGGGAGTTATGGCCAAAAAATGTTATTTTTTAACAGTTTTCCATTATATCTGGTGAAGGAGCAGGACTAAAACCACACTATCTTATTTCTTGCATGATGGCAACATGTTTGAAGAAAATCATATAAAAAATGAGAAAGTCATTCAAGTTTTTAAGTGGTATGAAAAATTTGATTTTTTCACAGTTTTTTGCAATTTTTTGTGTGAAGCCAATGTCGCAGGAAAACTATCAAACACTCTACATAAACCTTGTAACATGAGCTATGTTTTGCATTAAGTGCAAAGAAGATCAGCTCATTCAGTTAAAATTTTGTTAGCATGTAAATTTCCCTTGGTTTTTGCAAAAAATTGTACCCACCTTCAGTTCTATTGATTTTTCTGTCAAACCTGGGGGACCTGCAGATTAAAAAGTTGGTTTTGATCTAATTTGATAAATTTGCAACATGTGTGTAGAATTTCATCGAAATCAGTCGAGAAATGTAGACGTGCATAAATAGCATACACACACAAAGGCAGGCAGACACACATACACACATCATCTGTTTTGTAGATATAGATTAATTTGTGGATTGTGCCTTTAAATGACAAGATCTTTGTTCACTATAGCTTGATGGATCAGCTATAAATTTATGCTGCTATGCTTAATGGGTCAATGATTTTGTTGTTTGGAGAGAAAAATATTTGATACAACAGAATTCAAATTAAATTTTTGATTATTAAAGGAATTGCAGCAAATGAAAATTTCATAATTTTAAATTTGTAGAGCTTGCCAGATTTTCTATTTTTTTAATAGAATTACATTGTAAAATCTCTTAGACAATAAAATAAGAGACGCTGATAGTATTTTAAAAACACAACTTTAATGTCTTTTCACTGGTGGAATTTATCATTTTACAACACTGCTTTTCAGATATTGAATTAAAATTTTGTTTTAAATTAGGAATTAAAGAAAAAGTATTGGAAGTAATTTTAAGTAGTTTATTTTATTTTATTTGATTAAATATAATTATTATTTATAATAAATTATCTACCAGTTTGTTGAATTTAAGGAAAAGTCCCATTTACAACTGACCTAGATGAATGTATTCAATATAAACATTCTTTCTTGAAATCACACATTCTTTCGCTTATATATCATAACACACTTTCTAAGAAAATGTCCTTTATTGGTTTATTGGCTAGTCATACAAATGTATTTTTATTATTTTATTTACAAAATAAAAAAAAATACAATCACCTTTCCTTACTTTGTTTTCATTTGCATAAGTTCTATAATTTGCATTCATTCTCTACACAAGTGTATGACATTTTTTTTTCTTTTTTACTCTTGTAAATAAATTTAAAAAGAAAGGTGTTCACAAGGTGACTTATGCATTTGAGGTTACACACATAAAAATATATTTGGACTCTATTAGTAAAGAACAGAGGAATAAGTTTTTCAGTTTTCAAACATTCTTATTGACTTGCAAATTGTGCTTTTTAATCTATTGTGTTTACATTTTAAATTGTTTTAGCAAAACAAACACCTTTCACATCTGCTGCATGGCTGTATATTTTTAGCACAAATTTTACATGAGGAAAATAAAAAAGAAAGTATGTTTTTGTCTGAGTTTACCTTTTTCTTTTTTTGCAGGGGGGGGGGGGGGTCAACATTTCATATCAGATTTTTGTGTATTTATCTGCGATGATGATGATGATAATATTTTTTTATTGTTGAGATTCACTCACAAATACTTCAAAATGACCATTAATATTTTTCCTACATTCTCTTCGTTGTAATTTACTAAGCATAACTTAAATGTGGCACAAGGGCGCAAGTTTGGGGCACCCAGTGAGAATTGAACTCACTTCTCAGTTGTAATTGATCTAGCAAAACAAACTTTCTAATGATGACATCACAACTCCTCCTATTTCCTCTTTTCATGTTTTTCTTCTACTACTACTACTACCACCATTGATAATAATACAAACAAAGACGGGTTGGGGGAGAGAAGAAAATGAAGGGAGGGAAAAGAAAGAGAGAAACTTGAGTAGAGAAAAAGATAAGAAAAAGAAAAGGTTTATTCACATTCTATTTCACACATTTTTTTCTACTTTCCACTTCCAATTGGAAATGAAGAAAAAGGAGGGTAAAGAAAAGAAAAAGGAAGGAAAAGAACAAGAGAAAAGAGAAAAGAGAAAGATAGAGAAAAGGTAAGAAGGGATAGGAAAAAAGAGAAAAGGTAAGACGGGATAGGAAAAAAAAAAAGAGAAAAGGTAGAAAAAAAGAAAAATTTAAGGCGGGAAAAAAAGAGAAAAAGGTAAGCGGGGGATAAAAAAAAAGAGAAAAGGTAAGAAGGGATAGGAAAAAAGAGAAAAGGTAAGACGGGATAGAAAAAAAGAGAAAAGGTAAGACGGGATAGAAAAAAAGAGAAAAGGTAAGACGGGATAGAAAAAAAGAGAAAAGGTAAGAACGGATAGAAAAAAAGAGAAAAGGTAAGAACGGATAGAAAAAAAGAGAAAAGGTAAGAACGGATAGAAAAAAAGAGAAAAGGTAAGAAGAGATAGGAAAAAAGAGAAAAGGTAAGAAGGGATAGAAAAAAAGAGAAAAGGTAAGAAGGTATAGAAAAAAAGAGAAAAGGTAAGAAGGGATAGAAAAAAGAGAAAAGGTAAGAGATAGGAAAAAAAGAAAAGGTAAGAGATAGAAAAAAAGAAAAGGTAAGAGATAGAAAAAAAGAAAAGGTAAGAGATAGAAAAAAAGAAAAGGTAAGAGATAGAAAAAAAGAAAAGGTAAGAGATAGAAAAAAAGAAAAGGTAAGAGATAGAAAAAAAGAAAAGGTAAGAGATAGAAAAAAAGAAAAGGTAAGAGATAGAAAAAAAGAAAAGGTAAGAGATAGGGAAAAAAAAATGATAAGAGATAGAAAAAAGAGAAAAGGTAAGAGACAGAAAAAAGAGAAAAGGTAAGAGACAGAAAAAAAGAAAAGGTAAGGGACAGAAAAAAGAGAAAAGGTAAGAGACAGAAAAAAGAGAAAAGGTAAAGAGACAAAAAAAGAGAAAAGGTAAGAGACAGAAAAAAAAGAGAAAAGGTAAGAGACAGAAAAAGAGAAAAGGTAAGAGACAGAAAAAAAGAAAAGGTAAAGATAGATAGGAAAAGAGAAAAGGTAAGAGATAGGAAAAAAGAGAAAAGGTAAGAGATAGGAAAAAAGAGAAAAGGTAAGAGATAGGAAAAAAGAGAAAAGGTAAGAGACAGAAAAAAAGAGAAAAGGTAAGAGACAGAAAAAAAGAAAAGGTAAGAGATAGGAAAAAAAGAAAAGGTAAGAGATAGGAAAAAAGAAAAGGTAAGAGATAGAAAAAAGAGAAAAGGTAAGAGACAGAAAAAAAGAGAAAAGGTAAGAGACAGAAAAAAAGAGAAAAGGTAAGAGACAGAAAAAAAGAGAAAAGGTAAGAGACAGAAAAAAAGAGAAAAGGTAAGAGACAGAAAAAAAGAGAAAAGGTAAGAGAGAGAAACTAGTGGTGAAGGAGAGAGAAAAGAAAAGAGAAAAAGAAAGAAAAAGAGAAGAAAGAAAAGAGAAAAAAGAAAGAGAAAAAGAAGAAAGAAAAGAGAAAAAAGAAAGAGAAAAAGAAGAAAGAAAAAAAGAAAGAGAAGAAAGAAAAGAATAAAAGAAGAAAAAAGAAAACAGGAAAGACAGAGAAAATAAAAGAAAGAGGACAAAGAAAAAGAAAAGCTTAATCTTTGTCCATTTCACACCTTTTTTTTTTCTACTTTCCATTTCCAATCGGAAATGAAGTACCTTCAACTACGTGCTTACAAAGCTTACATCTTAGTTAGGAGGGGGGTAAAGACAAAATCACATGACACACCCTTATATACCTATAAATGGTAATAATTTAACCCCCCACACACTTACTGAAGAAAGAAAAAGAAAGACAGGTACACAAACACAGTAAGGTAATTCCGCGTTACAGGTAGCAACCTGTAGTGTAAAGAAACTAATCTCCATTATTATTAGCCATGTTGGGCTGAAAGTTAACCTGCAGGACTAGCGGAAACATACGTTTTATTATTATTATACACACAATATGATGAAGGATTTTAAAAAACCTAAGATCATTTTGTTTTTACATTGTTACAGACTTTAAAACAAAATTGAACTGGATAAAATAAAATGAGGTATGTTCATTTCTTTATAAACTTACTTGGGTCACTGGAGAAGTTGAGAACGATTACTACTCACAGGTAAACGAAAATATACATCCTTTTTAGTTTAAATGGAAAAATCTTTAAAAATATACACGTACTTTTAGGTTTTTTTTAAAACAACTTTTCAATGAACAAAAATTGGATTCTTTAGCCGCAGTTAAATGAAAAAGAGTTGCATTTTTAAAATCAATATTTCGTTACGTTCTCTTTCATAATTTTTTAATTTTATTTTCAAGTACAATGTGTTGAAAATGCTTCAATTCAATGAATATCTTTCTTTTATTCAATATTTTTTAGTTGTGTTTAGTTTCTATAGATTTTTAGTGTGCAGATTGATATCTTTAATTAATAATAATTCTAAATGTAGAAGTAATAATTACGACCGTTGTTACATTGTGTGTAAGTTAGAATATCAAGTTTTGAAATAAACTTCCTCGAGATAGTGTCAGACCGTGAAAAATAGTCAGAAATAAATAAAGTAACTTTCACTGACACAATTTAATCATTTTCTTTTGAGCCATCCTTTTAGGACGTTGGTGATCACGGTTCTTCACAACTTCCTGTCCTTTGTTATTATAAGTACACCCCACCCCCTTAACATCACTTGGCCATCCATTCAAACTTAACTTAAATTAAATTAAATAGGTTACTGCTGTGTCCCACCGGGTCTATGGCCTTCTTTCTCCTTCGGTATGTCACGTGTTAAATTCTCTGGGCCCTCTTTCCTCAGTATGTCCCAGATCACTTTTTCATTTCAGTGTTTATTTTCCTTCAAAAAAAAAAAAAAAACTTCCCCTCTGTTTTTCTTTTTCTTAATTTTAGCATTCGTCAGTAGACGAATCTGAATCACATACGATACTTAGTCTTTTTCAGTCTATTTCAATAAATCTGTTAGTGTTCACTTGTTAGTGTTATATATCAGAATTTCCACGTTTTTGCTTGTTTTAGTAAGTAAGGAATGTTTTGGTACAAACAAGGTTATGGATGGACCCTCCCATACAAATCAAGGAGCACATAACAGTAACTTCGATTTTTTTTTTTTTTTTTTAATTTGTGTTTTTTTTAAATGTTTGATTCAAAAAAAGTCAAGAAAGAATAAACGGTGACCTAATTGAGCTGATAACATATTTTTGATTACTGATCTTGAAAGAAAACATTTATTTCGCTCTTTCGTTTCTCGAAGTTTTTTATTTTATAATTTTTAAACTAAAGCTACCTTGTTCAATAATGCGAACACCTTTTAATTTCTTTTCTGCTTTCTCTTAGCTGAACACCCACTCTTTAAAAACCAAACGTTGAATTTTTTTTTTTTTTTTTTTTTTTTTGACAATAAAAGAAAAATCAACTCCTTTCTTTCCAGTTCATTGACGTTTTAATTACATTTAATTTCAAATTCAATTATTTTACGTACAAAGTTTAAAACTTAGTATCAGAAATCCGTCGTAAATCTTTAATTATTTTTTTCTTCTATTATTGGAAATCGATTTTTCATTAATGTCTTTTTGTTAAGTAGATTGTTCTTTCAGGCATTTAAAAATCTCCATAAAGGTAACTTTAACGGAAAGTGAAATTGACTAAATTAGGCTTTAATTCCAGGATGTGTCTTCTAGTACCAGAAGCTATTTTTTTGTTTTTTAACCCTTTCTTCAGTTGCCTATGTTATTGTTAATATAAAACTAGTCAAAAAAACCTCAAATTAATTACAATATCAACGTTTCAGATTCTTCGCTAAAAATGAGTGATGTTCTCCCTGGTTACTTAACAATCAAAAAGTCAACTAGAATGAATTTGTATCCATTTCCAAGGAGTTTGGTTCGGTGATGGGACTTCCTTATTTGATATTTTATTTAGGACAAACTTTCTCAAAGGAGGAATATAAACTTTAAAAACTTAACTGAAGGTGCCTAATGATTATTATTAATATGGAAACAAACATTGCATGTTATTATCCATTCAAACAATACTTTAATATTTTTTTTATTTTGAAGAATTCAAACCATGATAATTGGCTTCAACTTTTACAGGGCTAGTTAAGAGAATAAATTTTTTTATATAGGTTGGATGGTCATTGTAGATTTAAAATAATAATCCATAGTAAAAGTAAAAATGTCTTAGAGTTTTGAATTTTGTTCTGTCATTTGCTTTTAGTTTTATCTAATAATTATTTTTTTTTTATTTCTTTCTCAAGGTTCATATGAAGATTAATTAACAATGGAAATTAATGGACTATTTCTGATACTTGGAGTTGTGGCCATTGTCAACACAGCCACACCAAAATGTAAAAATTGGGGTGAGTCTTTCCTTGAATGTAAGCATCTTATAAACAGTGACTATCCACTTGAGCTGTCACAATTCAATGGTACTTTCAATTTAACATTAACCAATACGGTTAACCTACCAGCTAATGCAATCAGTGGAATTAAAATTGAAAAGTTGGTAATTCGAGATAGCACTATAACAAATATTGCTAAGAATGCATTCACTGGCCATGAACGTACTTTGAAGATACTTCACATTTCAACACTGGAGAAACAGGTTCCAGCCCCAACACAATCATTGGAGAACCTGTTTAACCTTGAGGAACTAAAAATATCCAGTTTTGTGCTAAACCAAACTTTCAATCACATAAACTTTGTAAAGCTAAGTAGACTACAATCACTCTACCTTGAGGATAACCAGTTGAGTTATTTTGGAAAGCCTGTGTTCAAAGGTCTATCTGCACTGACAAAACTGACAATAAGAAATAACAAGTTTACCTCTATCCCATTACCATCAGTATTTGAAGATCTACTGAATCTTACAAGTCTGGATATGAGTGATAATAATATTCAGAAAATAACTGAACAAAATCTTGTGAAAAGCAAGAACTTGAAGCAATTGATCCTGAAAGAAAATGCTATTGTTGAGGTTGAAAAAGATGCATTTAAAGGGTTGGAAAAAAGTTTGGAGGTGTTGGATTTGAGGTTAAACAGTTTGAATGATGCACAATTGCTTAATATGGCAGAGATGACGTCATTAAGAGAATTAAATTTACAGTACAACAGAATTCAGGTTCTGCCAAATGGTGTCTTCCAAAATTTCAGCCTCCTGCAAGTACTCAGTCTCAATAGTAATAAACTCTCTAATATAACAAAAGGAAGTTTTCGTGGGTTGGTCAGTTTGAAAACTTTGCAATTGAACTTTAACAGTTTGACTGTGGAAACTGGTACACTCTTAGACACACCTCAGTTACAGGAGATCTATTTCAAGAAGCAGAACAAAAAACTTCTACAAATGGAATGGCTCCAAGATGCTGCTACTTCTCTATTAAAACTTTATCTTGATGAAAATACATTCAATAAAACCTCACTGTGGCAGGCAATTCGCACTTTAGAAAATCTTGAATACCTGAGTCTTTCAAAGTGCAATCTCGGATATATTCCTGATTTTGCCTTTGAACAAAACCGACAACTAAAGACACTAAACCTTGATAGAAATAGCTTGCAGGTTTTGAGACAAGAAACATTCCAAGGACTACAAGAAAACCTGAAATCTATTAATCTTGAATTAAATGATCTTCAGACAGTTGATGAGTGTGTTTTTCAGCATTTCAAATGGAGCCTACAACAAGAAATATTCCCCATAAACCTGTTTGAAAATAAGTTGATTTGTAACTGCTCATTACTCTGGCTGAAAAAGTGGATTCAAATCTATTTGGCAATTCCGTTTCCAATTACATCTGTTCGTCTGTGGCAGTGTGCTCCATCTATGGAATATATTTATCTGGCAAACCTTACATGTGATTCAAATAGCACAAACCGGACTTGTCAAGATTTCAGTGATAAATACACAACTCTTATGGCTCCGACAACAATCACTATATTCTCAACTGTATTTGCTGAAACAACATCTGTCAGCTCTACTTTCTCAACAACCGCACGAGAAACAACATTTATGTCAACAAAAGAAACAACAATACCACCAACATCTACACAAACTCCTACGATACCAACTTTGTTTCTTCTATTGGAAAAACTGTCATCATCTTCCATCAGCATCTCTTGGAATATATCAAACTGGAAACATGTACAAGAACTCTCTCTAGTCATTAATAAAGTTGTGGAGAATGTTGATACCACAAAAACAGTTATTGACATTTCCAAAATGGATTCAAATAGCAAAATCTTAACCAATCTAATAACGGGCACCATCTTGACTGTATGCATCCAACTCAGATTAGATTTCTCCTTAGAACTCTATGACCGCTGTGACATAATTCGTCTCTTAAAGACTCAAAAGGCAAAGAGTGATAATGTGGGAATTTATATTGGGATAGGCGTTGGATCTGCAGTTTTGATCACGCTCATCTTGAGTCTCTTAGGTTTGATGTGCCACAATCGCATGTCTAAAAATTCATCTGATAAGCACAAATCAAAGGCAAATCTGAATCAACCGAAAACAACACTAAAAACTAAACGATATCAAAAACGAAAAAATCCTAACAATGAACCACAGGTAAGTGTTATCTCTGCGGAACCATTCCAACCAATACCCCATCTTTCTGCAGGAAGCTATCAGTATTTAGCAGAT